CCCCCCCCTTCCCCGTTCAAGCGCAGGGGGGGGGGGGGGGGGGGGAAGGTAAAACCCCCCGAAAAGGGAAACGCCCTAGACCACCTGCTGCGCCCAGAGGGCTGGTGGGATTTGATATGGTATTTTGCTGTGATGAAGGCTTGCTTCGGAGGCGGAACGTACGCTGAGCGAATAACAAAATACGGTGTCGATTTGAAGCAGTGGTACCAACAAAATAGATGCACATCTCGCCTGCAAGGTGCTTTAACGCTGGATCGTGTGCGCACTTCTGGGGCATGGCCCAAACTCAAGGCGAAAGCCGCTGGAACTCGACATCTGGCGTCATACGGAGTGAGCCTTCTCGCCAGGTTTGCACAATTAGATTCGGCTGATGCGTTCACAAAGTTGCATGGTGAACTAGCTTCTGGCGTATGCCAGCTCCTTTGCAGATTTTACTAAATCCTTGAAAGCGAATCTATGTTTCTGTCGGAATATGCCCGCAGGCGCTTGCCAGAATTGGCAAATGATATTGGAGCGCTGTATGCTCGCCTTTCGAGAATGTGTTTCGATCGGCGCCTGGGGCTGTGGAAATTGTCACCCAAGCTTCATTTGTTTATGCATGTGTGTTTGCACCAAGCCGTAGAGCTTGGTAACCCGAGGTTCTGATGGACCTACCCAGACGAAGATTTGGTTCGCATTCTCATTAACGCTGCGGAAGGAGCGCATCCCCAGACATTGGCCACCTCGGTTTTAGCGAAGTGGATGTGGTGTGTGTTTGATGAGCTGGTCGTTGACATCGATTAGCAAAAAAAACCGAATCAACAAGGTTTCGCCCTAATCCGCCTGACCCCGCCCCCAGACAAGCAAAATCCTGATCCTCATGGGCCAGATTGGGGTCATCTTGAAACCACCTTGGGGCCACAGAACCATCTTGGGGCAAGTCTTTGGGACCTCCATGGGGATTGCTGGTGGCTCTTGGGGTCTTGTGATTCAGGGCCTTCTGAAGGACCTCCTTGGGGGTCGCGGTCCTCATTGTCTCTTAGGATATTGTCGGTTCTGGGGGCTGGAAATCTTTATAGTTACAAGATAAAGAAAATATGTTCACCTACAGGGAATATGTATTTTTAGAAGGCAAGACGACGATATACATTCGGAAAACAAAGAAATCTGTATTATCGGTCTGTATTTCAAGCGTATCTGTATAAATATACAGAACCCTTTACTATTCTACAGATTTGGAGCGTCGGGGGAAGTAGTCGAGAGGAGTGGGGCGAGGGCCTGTTGGAACGGAGAGGAATGAGGCGGGGGAGCCAGAGTAATGAAGAAGAAGAAGGAGGAAAACGCAGAACACAACCAGGAATGCCAGCCAGCAGAGAAGGAGGAAGGGGAGGACGACGACGATGAGCGTGAACGAGAAAGGTATCATAACATATGGGCGAGGACGCAGCAAGACAGGGCACGCATCAATGGCTACAGGATTAGCCAAGACATGTGGGTGCATGGGGGAAGGGTGTTGAACGCTGAAATATGTTGTTGTAGCGTGCGGGTCCGAATAAGTTACCGCGCGCGACAAACGCATTGGATCCGAGAGGGCGATGCTCGCGCTCTAGATCTGTTCAAACTAACGCAGCCACACATGATCATCGGATTTGGGTCAAACATCACTCTGCTGGAACTCCCAGGGGCCCACGAAACCGGTAACACTCTCGCAGCTCGCCGCCCCCAGGGACGGCGAGCTCTCAAGTGATGTAAATCAGACTTCGCCCCGGTGGCTCTTCCAGGTCCCACGCAATTGGCGGCACTTTCATAACTGGCAGTCCCCGGAGGCGGCGACGAGCAAGTGCATTTAAAGAGGACGTGACCCCGTTGGACATCCAAGGAGCCCATCAGCGAACGCCCAGGAGAGAGGGGAAGGAGGGAGGCGGGAAATGGACGGGACGGAAACCGCAGCGCTTTATTCAACACCATAACCCAACGCAGGAGGGTTGGGAACAACATTGAGAAGCGGGACGGGATGGGAGGCTGGAGTACGGTGACAGATATGTCGCGAGCGCACCTAGCTTGTTCTCCGCCCGTTTCCTTTTTCCCTCCGCCGTGCTCCTTCGTCCGCATGTTCTCGCTTCCCCATCCTTTTCAACATGTGTGCAGTTTCTCCTCGTTGCGCCCACTTCTTTGCGCGGCGCCCCCCTGTGTCTCAGACGCGTGACACTTCCACGCGCGCAGCTCGGCACCAACGCACTCGTGCAGGCGATCATCGAGTATTGCGTCAATGTCTTGGGATCCCATGGCGCGCTCTATAGCTATAGGGCGTTCCATGTCGCACACCTCGACTCTACCGCAAACCCCACCATGCCACGCATTTCGATGTGCCGCAGGTGCGGATCGGCCATTGCTGCCCCTTGCTTGTGATAGCTGGGTGGAGAGGTCGAAGTGGAGGAGGACGAAGGCGAGGAGGAGGAAAAGATGACAGCTGGGCGAGGAGATCTGGTGGGAGAACAAGTGCGATTGGACGGGAAGGGGGAAGAGGTGAACGAGGATCAGCAGCAGCAGCAGCAGCAGCTCAGCAGCTCAGCAGCAGCAGTAAAGCCGAGTTTGATTAGCAGGTCGACCATTTTACATCAAGGTACCCGTGTGCCCCTGCTGCACTCCCGGGGCAATGCTGCCCTGATTGAGAAGCCATGTTGGCCTCGGAAGATTATTGTGTCCTCTCGCGCGTCCTCTCTAATCGAACTCGATTGTAGTACTCGGCGGAGGAAGCGATTGTAGTACTCGGCGGAGGAAGCGGGGGCACAGCCCAGAGGGGGAGGAGGGGGACCAGCAGCAGCGACAACCGCAGCAGGTCGGGGCAGGAGGAGGCGGAAGCAGAATAAGAGACGGAACGCGAGGGGGACCAGGGTAAGCCCAAGATGCATCAGCGATGGTCCAATACACCTTCCCGTCTGAACTCCCCTCATCAAGCGTCCTTACAGGGTTTCCGTTTCGCTGCAAGCAAGACCTTTTTTGTTGAAAGGCCAGCGCAGTTGGGCCTGACATTTTGGTGAGGGCACCGCTATGAAACGGATTTGTCTTGTTTTCTTCTTGCGCGTAGTCAGGAAATCTACAACCTGCGAACATACAGTTTAGCGAGGTGTCCAGCGAAATGTAATTGTTGCGCAAGTGTATACTTGCCGTTTTGGTTTTCAAGTCAGACCCTGTTATAATGAAAGAGCTGCCCTGAATCCGTGAAGTACCCCATGCGAAAGAGCCCCAGGTCCTGAAATTGGGCGAGGTCTCGGGCAGGAGCCCCACTTTGCAAAAGAGCAGTCCTCCATCCTTCTACTTGTTGCACTCAGTTAAACGAATGTGCGCGGCGCTCACATGAGAGCACCATTTTGACAACGACCTGTGTTCAATATGTAACTCCTCAAATTGGTTCCAAGATGTTGGGACGAGTGCGCGCGGCGCCAATGCAAGAACGCCATTGTGAAAATGAGCCGCCCCGCATCCTTTCAGTTGTTGCAAAATGTCAAAACGAATGTGCGCGGCGTGAAGGCGAGAGCGCTATTTCGATGCGAGCACCGATCCATACTTGAACTTGTCGCAGATGTTTTTGAACGAATGCGCGCGGCGCCAAGACGAGAGCGAGAGCCACATTTGACAACGACTTGTGTTCCATCTTGGGAGTCGTTGGAAGATTTGAAACGAATGTGCGCGGCGCCAAGGCGAACGCTTCATTTCGCAGAAGGCGCCTCATGCCATCATTTGAACAAGTTGCACGCTTTTGATGACACTGCGGGCATGGCGCAGGCGAGAACCACATTATGAAAAGGAGCCGCTCTCGATTCTCGAAGCTGGTTCGGGCTTCTAGGACGAATATGCGCGTTGCGTGGGCGAGAGCCACGTTTTGAAAATAACTGGCCCTCGGTGCTGCAACCATGTAAGACGAATGTGTGCGGCGCTTAGGCGATAGCCACAAGCTGAAATCGGCCGGTGCAGCATGTTGTTCGTTGGCAAGCTTTGAAGGCGAATGTGCGCGGCGCTAAGGCGATATCCACATTTCGACGACGGCACCCCTTCCATCATTGTAAGTTGTTGCAACTTTCCAGTATCAGGATCGTAAGTGGTGACGAAGTCACAGACGAAACGAATAGCTCGCCCTACCGACGCCTTCTGGAAGTGGGACAGTGAGGAGTTATTCGTAAGGGAAAGGAGTAGGTTTGAATGAGGGACAGGAGGGGGTAACGGCACAAACCGATCTTCTATGCTTGGGTGATATGTTGGTTCTTGTATTTGGCCCGGGTCTGCGGCTAGGGTTGGTTCGATGTGTTTTGTCGTCTTCATCTTCCTCCCCGTACATGTCCTGTCCTTCCTCCCATCTGAACCTCGCCCTCCAGAAAGTACCACACATAGTCGCTTGCTGAAAGGAGGTATTCGGGCCCCCCGAACGACAGTTGCAAGTCTGGGAAACGACTTCCTTGTCGGAAAAAAACAGATCTGATCGTCCAGTGTTTCTTGGGGCTGCAATGCAGGATTCGGGTCTGTGTCCAGGCTAATGGGGGTTCCGCAGGTTTTCAGGGCCTTTGTCTGGGTTTAATATGGGAAACTTGCATTGCAGAGTTTTTTGCGCGGCGCCGTCGGGAAAGAATTGGTGTCGAGTGTTACCTACAAACGCCTTGCTGCTTCAAGGTGTGGATTCCTAGTTGCATTTCGATCTACCGAGGCAGACCGGAGCTTGATATATTTCCAACGCGTTCTTGTTTCACGATACCATCAAAATCCCAACAAACCTGTGCAGGAAGTCGTGGCCAGGTCTCTGTGAGCGATCAAAAGTTGTCTTGTCGCCCTTGGTTTCAAAGACAACGGCTTACATAGTTGTCAGCGGAAGTCTGCAAGCCGATGCCAACGTCCATAAGGTTAGAATAATACGTGTGTGTTTTCATACGTTGGGCATTGGCATCACACGTATGCATGCTCTGGGGGCCTCTGTGATGTTCTGTGTATCGTTTTGTACGATTCTGTTTTGATAGGTGTGGGAAGCGGAGGAAAGCCGCCTCCACCATTCGAGTGGGTGTCTCCGGCGTTGTCCACTCTGTCGCAATTGATTTTCTCTGGTGATGTCGAGGTCATTGGTGTGTTTTGTACGTTCTCTTTTGTTACGCTTCTCATCTATGAAATTCGTCATTGCTGTTGGGTATCTAGCTTGAGGTTGTATTGGGAGTGCTGATGTGAGGACGCATGTGACGCGAGAAGGAAGAGAAGCATCAGGTTGAGGATGGGAGAGGGCGTCAAAGGTTTACTCTAGTCCTCCATCCTCTCCCCCCCTCAGCCTTTGCTCCCCTCTACTCCCCCGCCTCCTCCCCCACTGCTTCTGCCCACCCTCTCCTTCCTCTTCATCGCTTTTTCAAGAAGACGGATTGGACGATGGGTCGGGGACCAGAAATTGTAGAGCCCCCGGCAGCCAGAGAAGTCACCGTGGAGGGACCATCGCATCGGTCATCATTTGTCTGGCGCTTGCTCTTTGTGCTTGTCTTGTTCTCGGGGATGCGCCTCGTCGGCACGGCTGGACGCAGGTTCGACGAGATGGCTAGGACGGCTCCCAGGGAACATGCAGAGAAACATCTGAGTGAATCCCAGCCCGAAGGAGAATATGGATGCTTCTTCTGTTTCGGAGGGGCGTGTGGACAATTAGGCGGTGAGCGGGGTGGAAGTTGTGGTGATGTTTGGACGAGATCTTCGTGCTCTGAGCGGGTGGCCCCGCCGCCTCCTGCTTTCCTCTCGCCTCCCTTCGCCCCCTCGCTGCATCCTTCTTTGCACGCTGCGTCAGCCAGTCGACGCGATTAGAGTGGACGACTCTCTGATCGCGCGAGCGCATCGCGACGTGGCGTTGACCAACACATGAACAAATCGCAGTCACAATTTGGAGACCCATCGCGGATGATTGCTCCAGACTCTGACATAGTCTGAGGCGTGGCAGGACTGATTGCTAGTTGTGTCGCCGCGTGTGGGGAGCGTCTAAATTCCGCAACCGCTCTTGAGCATGTATGCCAAAACGAGCTTGCGTAGGGCGCCCATCGGGAGCAAGTGCAATTTTGCAACGCACGTGTCCCCGCCGCAGGTCATCACAGACTCGTGCTGGGCACTCTCCTACTTGTCCGACGGCCCGAACGAGCGTATCCAGGCCGTCATTCAGGCCACGGGGGGATGGACGCTTTGTTGTTGTTTTTCTGTTTTTCCAGATCGTCAGGATGGTGTGCTCGCGCAGTGTTGCCCGATACGTTTTCTCGTGCGCGGCGGGGCCCCAGAAGGGGATCCAGCGGCTCGTTCGGTGGTGTTGCCGCGGCCGCTGCTGCCGCTGTTACCGCCGCTGATATTGTTCCTCCTTTACTTTTTCCTTCTCCCCCTCGTCACCCCTGTGGCTAGTAAATCTCCGTTCGCCGAGAGCCGTCTATTGTCGAAGCTTATTTCTTTTGCAGGTAGTCTACATCACGTTTACTTAGACGTTTTTCTTGCCTTGGTCATTGCCGTCGCCAACGCGAGTGGTGATCCAATCATCCAATATGATGGAGGTGCGTATCTTTCGCGTCCTCTCTCAACCCCCTCCCCCGTCATTCCGTCCACCTCCAGTCGATTTCTGAACGGGGCTAGTTCCAAACGCTCCTGGCATGTCGGGGCTGTGCGATCCGAAACCAACAAGCCGACGGGTTGGGCCAACAAACAGTTTTCCTGTGCCATCGCGGAGCGGCAGAACTCTTTATGTTGCGGTCTATGCAGCCCTCCTGTCCTGAAGAGGCAAGGGGGAGGAGGGGTCATCTGATTGCAACGCGTGCCCTCACGCGTGACGCGCGCCGACACAGGCGTTGCGCCCGCGTTCTGCCCAACAGGATGTGCTGGCCCACTGCAGGACAGACGGAGCAACGGTGCCAAGAGTGACTGGGGTGAGACACTGCAGCGCCGACGCCGCCGTCCTCCAGCCTTGGCCCAAGTCTCTGGTCAGCCGTCGGCAGAGCTCGCTGGAAACATCATCCCTGACTGGAGCAGCAGATCGAGGTTATGCGTGCTGACTTTCAGCAGGTGGCCGTTATGCTGGTGAGGGTCCTTGTGCATCACGAGATGTTCAAGTAGGTTCGGAAGGATGCCAGCTGAACAATTGATGACGCTGAACGAAAGGATGTTGCAGGTAGGGCGATATCCAGCTACCTGCGGCGAACCTTGCCACCGTGCCAGGTCTCTTGAAACAGTTCGGTGCAACTGTGAATCAGGTTTGGGCCGTCTCGAAAGCAATACTACGAGATTGCAAGTTATGGCGTGTCCTTACCTTTGTAAGTTGTTGCGTTGCCTCTTGTGGTTTCTCCTTCGGGCCTTCGGGGTCAGTCTTGGGGGCCTCTGGGAGTCGTTGTGGGGGCCTGCTGGGAGTATTCAGGCCGTGGGGCAGTCTGGGAGGGTTTTGGGACCCGCTCAGTGCCTCATCGGCTACTCATTGTCGGCTCGAGGGCAGGCGCCAGCGGTGCTCCTCGCCGCGTGCGTGACCTCCACTCCTGTGGACGTGCACTGCTTCGGGGTCGCGATCCCTGGTGGCCCTCGTGTGCTCTGCTTCGGGGCTGCTTAGCCTGCTTGTGCTCCGTGGGCCTGGTCACCGAGTTCCACGTGCACAGGCCGTTATGCGAGCTCATCACGCTGGCTGCGACGAGCGGCCTCAGCCCGGCCGTGTACTCAAACATGTCGTTCGCCTCGGGCGGCCACGTGGTCCTCATTGTTAGGGCCCTCATTGCCCCGACCTTCCCAGCAGGCTCGGGGAGCGGAGGGGTGCGCAACATTTGCCATTGGGAGATCAACGGGTGTATTTGCAGCAGGGGCTCCACACGCCAGCCGAAGCGCGACCGCGCGCCTCGACGCCCCAAGCGCATCGAGCGCGGGCCCTGCGCAGAGGGAGATGGAGACCCGGGTGTCGGCCAGGAACACATTCTTGGATGTGAGATAGTGCATGTGCCACGTGTGTATATGCACCACTCTCTGCCGTTTCACCTCTAGGGGCCCCTTTTCGCCATTTCGCTAAGACGCATCATAATCACACTGGTATTGTAGCTACCGCACGATCCCCGTATCGTACCACTGCGCGCACGTTTCGTAAGAGAGTGTCGCCCCACCTCTACTTACACTCTGTACTGGCAGTTTCCCTCGCTAGGGGACCGCACCTTGCGCCATAACACTTTCTTCTCTTCGCTATCGGCCGAGCGCCGACGCGCTGACGCGGTCCGAGACGAAGAGTGGCTCTTACATCTACGGCGGCACGGTGAACAATTTCCACGAGTGGGAACTCCGCACAGAGATGCGCATGCGTGCCGCCTTGGCCTCAGTGGACCAAGAGACACAGCAACACGTGATCAACCCAGCTGCCAACATGGTTGTAGAAGACCTCAGAGGTGACGCACTCGATATTGCCATGGATATCGGTAGGGCCGTGCTTCTGACTCCGAATGGGATCGGCCAGCTGGTGTTGGCGATTCGTACTTCACCCTTCCCCATAGAGGCGGAGGAAGCGAAGGTCCCGTTACAGGTGGGGCAAAGACCATAAGGACCACTGTCTCGGCAGCGCGGTGAGTCTATGGTCTCGCACAGCTTCCGAGGGAGGCGCTGGTGGAAACTTGTCCCCAAGTTAGATTCGAAGATCTTGATGAGCGACGATATGATTGCCTCCCTTCTCTTGGACCATGCAGGCCTCTCGCCTTCGGAGAATCCGATGGTGTTGACATCCGCCGGAAATGAGACAACCTTCGACAAGATCAATGACGTCTTGATCCTCCAACACGGCCGCATACGCATCCGCCAAAAAGGCAAGGGTGAGTCCGGTAAAAGGCCCCAGCTCTTCGACGTGGACGCAGCCCAGACCCAGCTACCAGAACAGGAGCAAGGGCAAGGGCCAGGTGCGCTTCTCCAGGCCACGCCACGCCTTCTACACTGCTGATGATGGATGGGGCGCCACGCGTCCGGCTACGCGCCAGAGCACGGATGGGGCCACGCGGCCTGGGACGATTACGCCGACGAACACACCTACGTCGAGGAGGAATCGCATGCTCGCGTCGAGGATAGCAGCGAGCTCGAGGTCGAGGTGGTCGACGAGATGGTCAAGGCCGGATACGCGGAGGAAGAAGTTTCTGACGCGATCCAAGAGGATCAGGCCGCCGACCTCGGCACCAAAGGGAGGAGCAAGGGCGGGGGATGTACTGCGGCGGAAGCGTTGGCTGACCAATATCTCTCTAAGCACCATGACGGTGGTTTCGAGAGGTATGCACCTCCAGACGGGCAACAGCAGTCATTCGTGGACGAGCGACGCGAGCTGCCAGAACCACGGGCGCAAGAGCATTATGCGCAATATCATCCTATGGCGACGGAAGAGCTGCCGGGATCCCAGAGGACTCCGAGTTCATAGAGGAAGCATTTCGCCAAATGGAAGAAGATGAACTGTCAGATGGAAGGATCCTTCCTGCGCCGCCCGCGTCGAGGTCGTCACAGGTGACTCGGGCGCATCTTCAGCGGTCGTTACTAGGAGACGCCCCGCGCGGTATACAGAGTCGTAGCGAAGAGATGCGCAGAAGGGTCGAGAGTGCCGATGGTAGCACGGGAAGGGTCCCCGATTCTGTCTCGGAGCCAGCCCCCGAAACAGCGAACCCACTTCTTAGGGCCATGCGCAGGGCCGGAACATCAGGGCCGGGCATGGATCTCTTAGCTCGTAGAGAATCTTCATTCGATTTTAAGCCACATGAATCGCTTGTCGGATTCTTCAATGAACGCACCGTTCATAATCCGCAATCTAAGAAGGAGCTAATGAGTGCAAAGAATCTGGTATACCATCGGGAATCCGAGGACGTCATAAGCGGCTTGCGACTGGCAAGACAGGACGAATGGGGAAAATGGCGGAAGTTCAACGCCGCCGTACCGATTGATTTGGCGGAACTTCAAATTCTCTTCGACGAAGGATACCGTATGGCGCCAACGCAATGGCGTGCGATTGACAAGAATGAACATCTCCGCAGACCGGGTGGACGTCCGGTTGCACCGCAGTACAAGAGTGGACTTGTCGTGCGTGGAGATGTAGAAGAGTCGTTTGGGCATCCGCGCGGATTCACTTACATGCGAGCTCGAAGGGCTCAGGTTGATAGCATCATGGGCTGCCCATATAGAACCCGGGGGGTAGGCCTACCCTAGGCCTACCCATAGGCCTACCCCCTAGGCCCACCCGAGGCCTACCCCCTAGGCCTACCCTAGGCCTACCCCCTAGGCATACCCTAGGCCTACCACCTAGGCCTACCCCCTAGGCTCACCCCTAGGCCTACCCCTGAGGCCTACCCTAGGCCTACCCCTAGGCCTACCCCCTACGCCTACCCTAGGCCTACCCCTAGGCCTACCCCCTAGGCCTACCCTAGGCCTACCCCTAGGCCTACCCGCCCACCCCTTAGGCCTACCCCCTAGGCCTACCCCCTAGGCCTACCCTAGGCCCACCCCCGAGGCCAACCCCTGGGCCTACCCGAGGCCCACCCGCCCGTTGGGGTTCACGCGTGTCAAGTGCACGCGCACCATACTTGAATGTCCCGCCCGCCCGACCCGACCCGCCCGTTAGGGTCCGCCCGATCCGACCCGACCCGCCCGTTAGGGCCCGCCCGACCCGACCCGCCCGTTTGGGTCTGCCCGCCCGACCCGACCCGACCCGCCCGCGAGGGTTCACGCGTGTCAAGTGTACACGCACCATACTTTAATGTCCCGCCCGCCCGACCCGACCTGCCCGTTAGGGTCCGCCCGACCCGACCCGACTCGCCCGTTAGGGTCCGCCCGCCCGACCCGACCCGACCCGCCCGTTAGGGTTCACGCGTGCCAAGTGCGAAAGTGCACCACCATTCAATGTCCCGCCCGCCCGACCCGACCCGCCCGTTAGGGTCCGCCCGCCCGACCCGACCCGACCGCCGTTTAGGGTTCCCGCGTGTTAAGTGCACCGCATTACTTTTCACGCCCCGCCCGCCGGACCCGACCCGCCGTCAGGGTCCGCCGACCGACCCGACGCCCGTTAGGGTCCGCCCGCCGACCCGGCCCGACCGCCCGTTAGGGTTCACGCGTGCCAAGTGTACACGCACCATACTTATGTCCGCCCGCCCACCCGACCGCCGTTAGGGTCCGCCCGACCCGACCCCCACCCGTTTA